GAAGCAGATCAGCCGGGAGCCAGCATCACTGCCTGGGGTAGGAGAATGTATTTGCTGGGGGAGCACATGCTGATGGGAAAAACTTGCCTCATTCAAAGTGTGAGCTCTTCTACAAACCCTGGCTGCTGCTTTTTCTTCTCCTCAAACCGTAGTTGCAAACATCACACTTAGTACATTTTAAATGGAAAGCGGATGCTCCTGCATACTAATTCCTCCAGGCTCTGTTGTCCTTTTACAGAACAGGATGCTTACAGAAAAAAAAGAAGCAAGCAAATACAGAACAGGTTGTTTTCTCTGTCATTAACTCGGTCCACACTGAGGTGAATGGGTGTCACTGCTTTGCAATTATTGAAGTATCACAGCCCAGCCAACAAGGTTCAAATCCCACAAGTGGACCAGAGAGCAGGGAGGCAAGGTCTTGATAATGAGCATCACGACTTTAAGATGACCCCTCCAGGAGTCGGCTCCCCTTGAGCCAGGGGATAATGCACTAGGAAAGGCCATATTCTTTGCTCAGCCTTTCTGTCCACCTTTAGTGCTGAAGGGCAGAAGGCAGCTGAGAGGCAGAGAGATGAAGCGCAGTGATCACACAGATTAAAGATGATGATAAATATGGGAGTGGAAAGAAAGCTCCGCAGACATCAAGGTCATCACCAGCTTCAACTGAAGGAGAAAATGAACCGCCACCAGAGGAAACGCCTGCTCCTCTGCCAAGCCACCACCTCAGGCTTTATGCTGAAGAAATGATCAATAGCAGCTGGCAGCTTTTGGCCCTGTGCATCCAAGAACATCTAAAGACACTCATGACTGAAGATCAGTCAACTATGTAAAGGCACCAAATAACTTCTCGGGATCTGCAGCCGCTAAAAATATAACCAAGTATTGTCCGTGTGCCCCAGGAGCTGCACAACCCACATTACCCTGCAAGGGAAACAGACAAGTCAGAGCGACAGGAGCGAGCAGGCCACAGCAGGGTCCGGGTAATTAAAGATCCTGGTGAAAAGGAACCCCAAACAAATCAAAGGACACAGCAGATTGTCCAGACAAAGCCTTTACGAACGAGCAGTTCCCGTAAGGTACAGCTGTAGCTCAATGGGCTAAAAGAGGTACTGATTTCTGTGGGCATCAGTTGAGAGTCACCATTATTACAGGGAATATAAACGTGGTGAGATCATTCTGTTCTGTTGTCGATATATATTAAAGCCACAAAAAAACCCAAACCAGCACAGAGCCTGGAAGGACAGGGGCGTGCTGGCTGGAGAGAGACCAAGGGAGGAACAGACTGCAAGTAGCTGAACGACGCTGTTCGAGATGGAGAGATGCATCCAGAGCACTTGCCCACAATATTCTGGGCTTATGCCAGTGCAGTTAGTTCCTTCCCACACAATGGTTTTGTGGGTTTTCAGGCTTCTTTGTTCTCAAGAGAAGAAAATTCAAATAAGCTACAAGGGGATTGCAGACAGTGGTGTCCAAAGGGGATGAATTATCTTAAAAACCATACGTGCATTAAGAAACCTCCATAATCTGAATTTGCAATCACCCAAGTATTCCCAGAACCAGGTCAGCCATTGCTTTCCCACTCACTGAACGCCCCATGGCTCTTCTCCCCTCTTGGACACCCACAGAAGCAGAGACTGGGCATCAGCATCAGCATCCACATGGATGAAGGCCGGCAGAACACAGGGCCCCGAGTCTACTGACCACCACCAAGAGCCAAGTGTGAGTCAAGATTCCCAAGGAATGGTTATCTTTCTGGTTTAGTCTTGTCAGCCACTTTCAAAGGAAACAAGGGGTTAAAGCAGTGACTGAAAAGGCAGTGGTATTTACATAAGAAAGACCATGAGCACAAGCCCAGCCTGTATCAATATTAGCAATGACTAATTCAGTCTGTCAATGGGAAGAGTTATGGGAGCTCTGGAATACGGGGGAGCTGCTGCAAAGCCTTCATTTACAGACGGTCAATGCTGAAAAGAAAAATAAACCACAAAAGCAACAAAAATCCCAAAATACAGTGAGGAAGCACGAGCACCTCCACGCTCTGATCATCTCAAGATTCCTAAACTCCTCCCTTGCTTTGGTAAGAACTTAACGAACCTCACAAACGCATTGCTCGAGGCGTGGATTTGCCAGCAGGTTTAGCAGCAGCTCCAAAAAAACCCATGCTCCCCTTGCCTCATATCCCTTTTCCCTTCCCTCCAAATTTTTCTGGTAAAACATCAGGCCAAAACGTTCTTGCAAGGGTGCAGCAACCGCTTCCGTCTGAGAGCAAAGTTTTAACGTGTGCTTAGATATTAACTTACTCTAAGCAAGCTATTTTCACTTGCTTTCCCTCTGACTCCCGATACTCTACAATGAAATTATATATTAAAATTCAATTCCCTTTATGCTGTATCTTCAGAAAAGATCTTGATGTGAAAACGGCAGGGAAATCCAAAACCAGTTTACTTCATTGCTTTTTAAAATGACCTTTTCCCAGAATTTTTTTTTAATCACACTATTATAAATCTGGGTTATCTCCAGTTCACTTCTGAAACGTATTATCAATTTATACTTTTCCCTTAGCTAATCATTAAATTAAGCATAAGCAACACTTTGCAGGTTCAAGAAGTTACGAAGAGAATCTCCATAAGTTTATTATACCATACACATCCCAGATAATAAAATGACTTATAAACACTTGTATATACATTTTATGCAGTTCAGGAAAAAAACATGCAGAGATATGAAAACAACTGAAACCAGCAAATGCACCTTTTGAATTGGGCTGTTTCCTCTACTTTTTTTCCAGAAGAAAAGTACAGGATAAAAAAAACATTTCTATTCTGCTGGTTACCACTCGAATGCTCATTTTCTCTCACATTGGTAATACAGCAGCATTAACAGTGCAGTCAAAAATGTGTTTGTTTGCTGAACTGTATTTAGGTTAGATCCTGCTTTGTGATACAAAGCCCCAGTAGTGCAAAGCAGATATTATGCCAGCTTATCTAGGCAGTGGAAGACAACCCTCCTGCATAGGATACCCACCAGCCTCACAGAAAAATGATGCTCAGAAAGGTAAGTGATAAGAATATATAAAACCATGGCCTGTAGGACGATTTGTCTCACCTGTATCAGATGTCCTTCTACATGCAGATTATTCTGTCTGCCTCACCAGGACAGACAAAGCCTCTGTGTATCACGTCAAGTGATAACCTGTGTGTATCACACCACGGCCCCGCAGGGCGTGGCTAGCCTCGACGTGATGCAAACCAGCACCGAGGCTCAATTTTGGTCAAGCAGCCAGTGCCAAAATTTGCACCAGTTAGATTTGCACAGCACCATTGAAGGGAAGGAGACGGCCGTGGTGCAGTAGGAGGCAGAATTTGGTGCCAGGTCTCAGTAAATGACAAAAACAAAAAATGAAGTGATTCAGTACAGACATATTTTTTCAGCAAAGTGTTTCCCATGTCTTGTTACCATCAGCAGCAATGGGAAAATGCCAGTCTTCTCTTGGAGAGCATGGGGAACAGGGCAGCTGATAGTATCTGAAGATCTCAGCACTCTACTGCCTATGTATCATCACTACACTGGACGATTAACATCCTCTGCTGTGCCACACACAGCATTGCAACAGCCAACAACTGCTAAACTTTCAATAGTCAAATGGCAGACCAAGACACATCCCCCAATTGTTGGCTCCACAACTTCAACTCAGAGAGACAAGAAAAAAGATTAAAATGGAAAATGACAATATAGTCTAAAAAGTAACTACATAAAAGTGTCATCACCTCATCCAGCAAGCCTGCTCCTTACATTGTTTTCAGTAGAGGCAAGAAGCATAATACTTTTCTCCACTGCTTGTTCAGCAGAGCCAGCAGCCTCTCTAGGGGAGTCCCCCAAATCCTATTCCTTGCGTGCAGGAGAGCTCACTCCGAAGATGAGGTGACATGGTCTGGCATCCTCTACTGCTCAGCGTGCCAAAAACGGTCCCCTTTGAGATCCCAAGAAGATATTACAGGATAGCACGTTTGTAGAATAGCCCTCAGCAAACTGATTTGTGCTTAACTGAATCGCAGAGAAATCACGGATCCAAAGCGGATTCCTGTGTACTGCTCACAGAAATGCTTTTCTGAATTAAACTCTTTTGAACAACAAAGTAACATATTGGCAAAACAATGATGCAGGAAAGAGTGATTCAGGCACAAAGGTGGATGTGCAACTTGTTCTGGTCTTTTTTGGTATTCATGAAGACAGAAGCCATGAATTTCAAGTAAGCATCTGAACATGCATTGTAGAATCACAATATAAAACTGATGCTAGTTATCTCTCATGCAAACCTATGGCAATGCAGGCTTACAAATGCACAGGATGCCTAATTAAAAATACCAGTAGTGTTTAGTCCTAAGGTCAATTGTTAGTACAGGAGAACAGTTGTAATGCCTAGGCACTTAAAAGTTGACAGAGAATTCAAGAGTGCTTTCCCATGCTGCCTGAAAAAATGTATCATCCAGGCTACAGTGGTATCAAATGCTTATTTCTAGGACTTAGAAACATGATAATAAAAGGGAGAGAATGTGATCTGCATGCAGGTTAGCCTATCTGTGAGCTAGCTGCGTGTCAAGAATATTTGCAAACTTCATTAATGTAAATAAGAGGAGGGAGGGAAGAGAGAGTTTACTCCAGAAGAAAACAGCATCAAAATCAGTCTGTGATGATTAAGCCTATGACAAAATGAGCGAGACAATGACCAAGGAGAGGATTTTGTAGGTCTTCCCATTGCTTTTCCCTAGGGTTAATTGTGGATGTAGAAAATGCAAGACAACCTGGAAAGACAAGAACTCAACTTGCTTCCCAGGCCTTGCCACCTTTAACATCCATGACCGCTGACACTGAAAAGTCAGGTTAAAGTGTACATGATCTGTCAGAGCACGGTGCTTGCCATGGGACAGCTGTTTTCTGCTGATAGAACAAGGGAAGACAGCCTATAGTCCCAGGAGACCCGTGGGCTGCCCTGGTAACCACTAGGACTCCAGTAGCGTGTGCCACCTGCAGATCTGCGTCCCCTTCGACTCCTTCATTTCTTGCCAATGACTTTGCTCTTCCTCTCCGCTGCTATTCTGACCCATAGAAATCCAGCCGATCATCTCTTTGCGCTTCATGCTGCGTCTGTTGTATATGGAGATCATCAGCGTGACATCAGAGAGCTGGAAGAGGGCGACCTGGAAGATGAAAGTTTCCTTGTAGACAGGGTTGGGCTGTCCTCGACGGATGGAGGTCTTGCAGCGAGACATCTCCTGGCCCACCGAGTTGAGCAGGTAGAGCTTTCCATAGGTGTCTAGCACGAAAAAGAGAAAAGAATATGTTTGGCACAGGTGACAGACTAAATTAAAGCCCCAAGTGATCAAAAAACACCACAAAAACCTCCAGGTAGAGCAGCTTTGTCTGCAGTGAATAACAGATGAGGTCTGGACTGCTCTCCTTAGTAAAATCCATAGGATGAGAAGCAGCAGGTAAAAGCACCTCTTGGATTTCCTCATATTCAGCTGGGGAGAAGAAAGGAAGGAAACTGATACGAGTTTCAGCCCTAGTCTCTTGGAAAGAGCAGGAAATCTGGTTCGCAAGCCTAGTGAGCCTGTCTGAGACTAACAGAAACTATGAGCATCTCTGTGGATTCTCTACGTCCTATGGTGTGTCCGCACTTTCCCTTCCTCTCCCTCACAACCAAGCTTCGTTTGGAGATGTCTTACTAGATCTTCCCTTGGCTACACTTGCCTCTCCACCACTTTCTTTTGGAAGAATGCCTCTACAACCTATTATTTGAAATAGCAAATTAAAAGGGTCCTGAAAAAGAGAGAAAGGAAACCTGCACACACAGTGAAATGATTTAATCTCACGTGATAGTTTTAAGGCATTTTCCAGATTCCCATCTTACTTTTTTAGTGGCCTCAAGGCCTATTTTATTCACTATTTAAGTCAATACAAGGAGTAAAAATGCCTAGTAGATACAGGAAAGGGATGGTCCAAAGGTAAATGCACCCTTAAACTCTTGCTGACTCCTGTACTAATTAGTTCACTGCTGTCAAGTGGTCACTAATACTGCGGTCTCAGGCAAGAGCTCTGTGGTCCCAATGCTCCACAGACCCAGCTCAGTGTAAGTTTCCACCTTGCTCTGCACGTGACGGTAACAGATCACTTGGCTAGAAAAGTCCCCTCCTAACCCCTTTATAATCTGTGCCTGGGTTTCTGCAAGTGAGTATTATTTCAGAGTGTGCTGAAGATAGGAAATAAATAACAAGCCTCCGTCTCTTGTCTCCAGCATGTCTATCCTCTTCTGTTCCCGTTTGATGTGCTATTTTACGCACTTATCTACTGAGCAACACAAGGTGTGAAATTACACTTCAGGTGTGAAAACACTTCTGTGTCTCCAAAGCAAGGCTCTCTGCTCCTCTCAAACTGTTCCACTGAAAAAGCTGTCAGGAGTCTGACAATCGAGGAGCAAATTGTGAGCCTGCACAGCTGTACAGCTATCGGGTTACTGCGGGGAAAGTTCAGTCCAACCATTAGCTGGGGGAGCCAGTTTGGCTCCCAGCGTAACACTGGAGATGAAGGAGATGTTGCCTACAAAGACTGACTCGTTAGACAGAAAAGCAGAGCTCTGACACGAAATAGTTTCCTGATTGGATTTGGGAAGGAAAGAACCTTTTCGTCACGAGGTGGACTAATTACCACAGTAATATTGAATGTTGGTGGTGCTGAGCGACTGAATTCTGTAACAATGTGAGACCCACCAGAAACACAAAGCCCAAGAGAGGACTCTCTCTTCTAGCTTGACTCAATGTGAAACCACATAATGTAACTACGAGACCCAATCTCTTGCGGTACTTGCAGAGATGTCACTTTGCTTTGCACTGACAAACCATAGCGTGCACTGAAGCATTCCTCATGTGGAAGTCCTTGGCTGCTGGGCTGAGGCTACGGGGAACTCCCTGGAAAGAAATGTAAGTAGGGAGTACAGATTTTATGAATTTTTTAATGTGTTCACCCTTTATTTTGTGAGGAGGCAATTTCAAAATAGAGAAAAATCTCCGCCAGCCTGATTTTTAAATACAAACAAGCAGCTAATTTGCACAATTCCCTGCTCAAATTTTAAAATTTTTCTTGCTTTCAAAATGAAATCTTACAGTTTTCTACATAATTTCAGTGCATTTTCCAAACTGTTTCTCTGTCATTTACAGGCAGAAAGCTGAAGGGGCTCAATTCTGCTGACACACAAGAGAGGTGAGTGCTGAGACCCAGGAATTCATGGAGTTGAGGCCCTCTCTATTTGCTCCTGGCCCAATACCTCCATTTTTCTCTAGATAGGTCCCTGGTGTCATATCACTTTCCCCACTACCCTCTGAGAACTGTTTTGCTCAAGGTGAGGGCATTTGATTGGGATCATAGTAGGGGCTGGGAATTGTCAGCAAGGGCAGAGCTGTGGACCCTCTTGGCTCCTGGGAGGGTTTCCCTGGCTCTGCTGGGATAGGGGATGGGTTGAGCAGAGCAGCAGTACACAGCCAACAGCTATGAACACCTTCACTGCTATCCCATCCGACCCATGAAGTACTTTTTTAGCTTATCTTCCCATGCTGCTTCAGGGAAAGGTCACCCACACATGCCTGTACCTGGTTTTCTGAGAAGACGAGGAGAGGACTGAGGTCTAGATTTTCCTCTCAGGAAACCTCGCTATCATCCTTCCTAGCCAAGATTGACAGCTCAGGTGTGATTCATCACACCTAACCACAGGTACATATGTTTAAGCAGTCCCCCACAGAGACAACCAAGTTATAGTCAATACCATCAAAGCAGCATACGACATAATTCAGCAAAGATCTAGTAGACAATGCTACCATTACAGATGATTTAGGTTTTAACACTAAAGCAAGTGCCAGAGTGAAAACACCTCATAGGATGCTGTTTCTGGATGTCCCAGTTAATTTTCCAGATACATATCAGATCTGCCGCATACTTCCACACCAAGGCCCTGTCTATACAGTACCAGTCAGTGCGGATTCTGCAGGTATCATTTGGATCAGGTAAGAACATTTGCCCCATCCCTGGAGGTGTTCAAGGCCAGGTTGGATGAGGTGTTGAGCAACCTGGTGTAGTGGAGGGTGTCCCTGCCCATGGCAGGGGGGTTGGAACTAGATGATCTTTGAGGTCCCTTCCAACCCGAACCATTCTATGATTCTATGCAGGCTGGAAGGAGACTATGCTCAGGGCAGAGCTAATACCAGGAGCCCTGTTCATCCCATGTAAACACAGGCACAAAACCCATGCAAGTGACAACTAAAAAAGGCTGCTAATTTTTCTTAAATTTATTCCACTGGGTGTATTTTACCAGCCAAAAGAATCAAGCTTGCCTGAACAGAAATAAAAGAGTAGGTGTGGATAATATATTTAGCATCTGAAATTTGCTTTGCAGAGTTGGTATGTATGAGGCTGAACTGTTATTCTGCTTCACTAACTACATTTTAAGATTGTGGTTTGCTTTTAATGCATTGCACTCCTTGCAGCAACTTTTTAAGTGTCTCATTAGGAAATGCTTCTAGTTCCTAGTCCAGTCTGGATCTCTGAGATGGAAAGCTCTCTGCCTCGGTTGGCTTTGCCATAGAAAATCCATCCCTGGATATGTGGCGAAATTAGTGGAACTACAACAAGGATGAACTTGAAAATTTACTGAGGAATGTATGTGTGAGAGCATCTATTCATTATGAAGGCAAACATTTTCCATCTAATTACATGCTCAGATTCCGTAATGGCCTCATTACTGTGGTATCTCAGCACTTTATGCTCTTCAGTGTATTTACTTTCATGCCACCTCTGTCAAGCATGAAAGGGGAAGAGAAATTAAGGCTTACATTCTTTAAAATGCCTAAGTGCTCACCTTCTATTTAGGCACCTCTCTCACTGACATGATGAAGAGTGAGACCTCTTAATATCTGGGCGTGTCTGAGAGTGCAGTTTGCCCACGATAACACAAAAGTCTGAAGAACCAGGAACAAAGTCTAATTTTGTTGAGACCAATTTTAGCACCGCATCTACCAGGCTCTCCTCTTCATACAGACTTCGGAACCGAAGTTCTTGCTACAGATCATTTTTACCATAAACTCATCTTTCATCTCCCGTGTAAGTGGACTGAACAATCTTCACGTATACATAAAATACCAACACTTCTGCTTTTAATACCAGAGTGAAAAGCACTAAATCAAGGAATGCTGCAAGAAGCCAGAAACATTTTGGGCTGGTGTTGCATAACCTTACTCCAGAGGTTGGGCCAAACTCCTCCTTGTGCAGACTCTGTCTCCATCAACACTGCCCCAACCATAAAACACCTCTTGAGAGCTCATCTGCAAAGGCAATCAGTTTATCCGCGGTTCTTCTAATGACCCATTTCTGTCATCATCCTTCTAAGGGAACTAACCAATAATGACGACTCAGGGGAATAATCAACTATAATTTATACATTCCCGTTTTTGGAGCAGGGACCATAGTGTGCATTCTGCTTTCATTTACCCTAAGCTCCACCATTATTAATAAAGCTGACCAGTGAACAAAACCACTGCAACACAAAAGCAGCTAACTCCCTACTTGAATTTGTATTTAGAAAGGAAATAAACAACCAAAGACTCCTGACTCCTGGGGTCTGTGGACTGCAGGGTACCACACACTGCTGTACGGACTTTCCCACCCGCGCTCCCGGCGAGCTAGCTCATTTCCAAAAGCAGTAGAACCATGTCAGCATGCTGCAATCCAGACTAATAACACCCGCAGTAAAATAAAGCCTTGTGCCTAGAGCTTAATTTCCTGCAGCTGGCGTGTCCACACTCCGAGCCTACATAACAAACGGCAGCATCGCGTGGCAAAGCAGCCCTAGAGCTGAGCTCTGTGCTGCTCTGTACAGCACAGCGCAACACGAGGTCTGTTTGAGACCCAGAACACTGCTGCTCCATCAGTCATGGCTTTACGTTCCCATTAAACCGGCAGTGGGGCAGGAATGACTGCAACTGGATTGGGAAAAGAGCAGGGAGGAGAATTAGACCCAAGCTTTTGTTCGCAAACTCACACTGTGAAAGTCTAGATTAGACCAGAGACAGCTTGTGGCCAACTCTATAAATCATACAAGAGCTGAGAGCTGCCTACTACAGCTTTCCTTCCCCTATTCCATCGGGCCTCTGTTGCTCAGGTCTCCTCTCCCACGGCTGGAAACAATCACACAAGGGAGAGGTTGGGATCCGTTGGGCAGCTTTCACCACGTGAGTCATCAGAGAACAGACCAGCAGCACCTGTAATTTA